CATAAGAAGGTAGTGTTCACATCGAACTAACGGCGGAGCTCGCAATTTTTTCGGTTCGAGCCGGACGATCCCGAAAAGGGCCGCACTTAAATAAAAGTCGTGGATATGAAACCGGTTCCGATGTTGATTATTCCCAAAGTGCTGGTGGATGGGGCGCGGTCGGTGTCTTCACTCTCGTATGAAGTGAGGAAAGAACTTGAAACACTAGTGCTACGTAATGCTTCCTAGAATATTTGAGACGTAGTTAGTGTATTGCTCATAATGCTCATTTTATTACATACATTTGTTATTGTAAATGTACGGACAAAACCCAAGGTCAGTGCGAAACTTTCGCTCCTGGAAGTACATAATAGGTACTGTTTTAATTATGTATTTAATTAGGTTATTATATTTTTATTTATCACTTGAAAAGCTTTACATATATTATAAATAAAAACGATGTTGATTTTTTTTGCTAAATCTAAAATAAAATTTTAGACACAGGCGTTTGAGCACAAATTGTTCCCATACAAAAACGCCCACTTGGACGCCAACGATCTATTGAAGTACGGTGAAGAGAAACAGCGTCGGTGGAGCGGCGAGGGGTGAAGAGTGAGGGGGATTTACTCACTTCAATATAATATAACATAGCATGGAAATGCTTGTTGCAAATTTTTAAGAAAATAATGTACGAGATATGACAAGTAATTTTAATACCATATAACTACTGCCCTATAAAGTTAGATTTTTTCACTTCGGACAATTTAACCCACAGCAAAAACTACCTAAGTACCTGATTGCAGCGAGTGTCGAGCGATATTTCCTCGGCGGGATTCGGTGATGGATGTACTGCATCTCAACCGCACACTACTTATTCCTAAAACTAGTTTTAGAGGAATTTGTATGTACTTTTTAATATATAACACATTTGGCAATTCTTTTATACGATGTGAAATGAAGCGCGCGCCGGATTTGCCTATTTGCGAGGTAAAATTTCGACGATATTTGAGTTATTTGATTAGATCTAATCCAGGTAGGATTAGATCTAATCAAATAATTATTTTGTTGTTATTTGCATTGACAGATTAGAATGAAACGTTGTAATAATATATTGAAATGTAAAAAAATATTGGTTGCGTTACCTTTTACGTAATAGTTATGTATTTAGAGGTATCGGCAGTTCGCAGTCGCAGGTCGACGCCGAATGTAATAAAATATATTAGGACAAGATTTACTACTAGTTTTATTTTACTTTCGCGTATTCTTCACTCCCTTGTTCTTTTTTTTTATTTATTTTTCATACAAAAGATTTAACAAAGAATTTTATCTCGCCAAGCTGTAATGCTTAAACCGCCATATTCTGCCGGCGCAATTTTCATAAAACAAGAAGTTTCATGCGAATTGCCCGACTGACACTTTACTGGACCGTTATGATTTTCGCTCGTATTTAAGTTCCATTGTAACCGCTTGTGAGTGACGAGTGAACTGTACATATACCAGGTATACCGGTACGAAGTGAGCGTCAAGATACAAATGTCTCGATAGGGATAGGAACATTTGTCTAAAACGAGCCTTTATCTTTTCTTTCTTTGCTATGACATCTGTGAAACATATTTAGTCTACATCAAGTCATTGAACAGACAACATTATATTTTTTCATCGTGTTAAAAATGTCGAATTTTGTACCAGAAAGTGATGACTTGCGGAAAGCATTAATTTTTTGTTTTCATTTGAAGAAAAGTGGTGCAGAGTCGCATCGAATGCTTGTCGAGGCATATGGTGATCATGCTCAATCAGAAGCAACATGATAAAGATGGTTCCAACAGTTCAGAAATAATGATTTTGATGTGAGAAATGAAGAACGTGGAGGACCACCAAAAAAGTTTGAAGACGCCGAATTGCAATCGATTAACTAAAGTAATGTAGATTGTTATTATAGCGCTTGTATAAAACCACATTGTTCATTCTTACTCCCAACTAACTAACAAAACGGTAATCCTTGTAGCATTCGTTGCGTTATATTTGGCTCGTTCACGCACCGACACGTGTGGCCGGTCCAAAGGTCATGCCATGCCAAAGGCATGTACTTATAACGTCTACGCTCTCTCTCGCTCTGTAGAGACCCGCCTTCCCATTACTGTAAATACAATAATAAAGGCTCTTTGCCAACGATAACAATTACTCCTACCGCGCGGCATCAACAAATAGTTTTTTTTTAATATTATTTTTAGACAGACAATTGCAATTCTTTGTCTCCCTTTCATCGACGTAGGATATAAGTGAATATTTTCCCATCCCATGCATTCTCTCATCCGGAAAAACCACTACCATTCCCTAAGCTTTTCTTGTAAGAAAAAGGGTGGAAAGAGGAACAGGACTAAAGTCAGACCTCCGAGACGCGTACTCATCAGACAAAACGCGGAATTGCTTCCACGACCCGAAGAAGTTGTGGAAGTCAATTAAAAGTATCTGCCACTGTTCAAATAAAATCAACTCGGCTTGTGATCTCACAACTCTAAAAGATTCTCCAAAGTATTTCTTAAACAGTTGTAATAATCACTTCGCCACGGTAGGACAAAAACTAGCTATTAATATATTATCTAAACGCTCCACGACTACAACTTCGTTAGCAGTAGAAGTTGAAAGCGCTTCTTTGGCAACAAGTTCCCTTTTCCTACATCCGACCGACGTGGATGAGGTTAATAAATTAATCTGCGAATTGAAATTGGACAGTGCTCCTGGCCCAGACGGGATAAAGCCACGATTCATCAAGGAAGTTAAAGATACTGTCTTGGAGCCTCTTACCTGTATTTGCAACATTAGTCTGGCTTTTGGATGTTTCCCGTATCAGTGGAAACTGGCTCATGTGTCTCCCACCGATAAAAATGGTCTTAAAAACGATCCTATAACTACCTGTTTCACTTTTAAGTGTTTTTTCTAAAATTCTGAATAAAATTGTGAACGGTCGTCTCTTAGCTTTTCTTAACAAAAACAAACTCCTATCCTATAACCAGGTTTGTTTCACGAAAGGTAAATCAACTGAAGATGCAGCTATCTACCTCGACCTTCGACACGGTCTCCTCGGATATCTTGCTCAGGAAACTTGAAGTCTCGGGTGTAAGAGGACAAGCTCTGCAATAGTTTTGTAGCTACCTTACTGATAGGCGCCAAACAGTTAAAGTGGGTGAAGTAGCCAGTGATCCATTATCTATCGGTTTTGGTGTTCCGCAGGGTAGCATCCTTGGACCTACGCTTTTTCTTGTCTATATTGGTGACATTCTCAGACTCAAACTTCTTCTTCGTTACAGTCTTGTCAGACTGGTCGTGGTCATCAAGTATCAGTGACCCGCTTTACCAGGCGCCGCCTTTTTTTGTACATTGGTGCAGGGGGACATCCACGACGGGGCCGCGGACGAGAGCGGAAGCGTGCCCGTGGTCCCGTCCCGATGCGTTGGAGGAACAGAGAGGTTTAGTGGGTATGCCTTCGCTATGGAGGAAAATCCCGCATAACTACCGCGTCCCCCCCTTACTTGACGCCTGTCTTGTGTGTGGTCGTTGTATTGCACCGGGCGATCCGACCAATTCGTGCGAAGATTTTGAAACGGTCTCTACTGCTGTTGAAGTTAAATAATAGCCGATTCTCAGACCTGTGAATATACATATAAAATTTCATTTCTGAAGTCATTTAACACTATAGAAGTGATTTTGAAAAAATAATCTCTAAATAGACTTGTTGTTTTAATGATTAAAAGTTTTTCTGTATTTTTCAGAATTCTCCACAATTTTGTTTTTATTTTTACTATGACGTAAACCTGCAATCACTTCATCAAATTTGTCCGAAATACCATTGTGATAGTTTTAGGCTATGTGCGCCACCCGGCGCCTGCGAGCAGCGGCACAAGCGCACTGGCACTGGCGACTGCGAGCAGCGGCACTAGCGCACTGGCACTGGCACTGGCGACTGCGAGCAGCGGCACAAGCGCACTGGCACTGGCGACTGCGAGCAGCGGCACAAGCGCACTGGCACTGGCACTGGCGACTGCGAGCAGCGGCACAAGCGCACTGGCACTGGCACTGGCGACTGCGACCGCGAACGCAAGAGAAAACTTTATTCTTTTCATAAGAGAGAAATAACACAATAGATCGTTTTAATTATAATTTTATTAAATTAATTCTATAACTTTTTACACAGTAACTTACATGTGCCACGTTCCTTCAGTAACATAGATGAATGTCGGCGGGCGGAGGCGGCTGTCCCGCGCCCTCTGCGCGCTTTTACAATGTATATTTTTTTAATAATTTTCATTATATAATTGTTCTTATTATTCTCCTCGTATTTAGAATTGCGAGAAGGCGCAGAGGGCGCAGAGGGCGCGGATATCGCGGGAGAGTAGTACATATTTATTGCGGTAACATTACTAGAACAATGCGCGGCCGGCTCAGTCGTCTACACATTGCGGCGGTGCGACGGCCGCTGATATTGCCCTTACGGTTATCAGAAATTGTGCTCGGGAACAGGAAATTAGTGAAAAGAAGTGAGAAGATGGGCAAGCTGCGCCTCGGCCTGCATTGATCACGAGACAACTCGTACAAATTCATTTAATTTATAAATAACGCAATAACTTCCACTCTTTTAGGCGAGGTGTGGTGCGGCGTCACTCTGGTACTCCACACAGCAGCAGCCGCTGTGGCTATCGCGTTCAAACGACGACATTATAAGCGAGGCATTGCTCGCTAATACTTCTGCTCCGCGCGGCTCTAATGTACACCAAGTACTAGATAGAATTGGGTTAAGTTGGACCGCTCCGACCGGCCCGCGGGGCCCAATGCAACGTTGCGGCACTTCAGGTTAAAGTAATCGGGCTGAGTCATTTATTTTATAGTATTATTATGAAAAATCTTTATAAATTGTAAAATATAATACGCTACTTTGATAATTTGTCGACATGCAATTTGCCCGGATCTGACCCTGGCAAATACAGATTGATGATAAATAATATACTGTTTAATATATTATGTATCTCGCCTGCAAAAAATATAGTAGTTATTGCGTTATGAAATAAAATGTTTTTGGGTGATCAGATCGGTACCGACCATTAGCCGGACGGAAACAATTCGCACTCGTCGTGTCGTCGTCGCGTGCCGCCTCGCCCTCGTCGTGTTACATAATAACAAAAACCTCTTTCGCGTCACCATAAAATAAATTAACAATTTTTTATTAAATACAATAGTTATAACAAAAATATATGATGTACTCTGTGAGACAAGTCCCGCGCCGCGCTACACATTCATTTGTTGATTTGTGAGCGCGAGAGCCCCGCCCCCTCGGAGTAATGACGTCATCTCGCCCTCGGAGTGCAATCTCACATCTGTGTATGGCCGAATTCCATGGCAATGACAAATTATTACAAACCTGTCTGAATAGTTTTACATCTTCTACAATCACAGACGTAATAAAAACGAACATCATCAATTTAAACACTGCAATTTTCCTAAACAGACCTGTGTTAATATATAATAACTTGTTATTTCCATCGAATTTGACCGTAAGTCGGGATACGATCGTTTACAATAAGGCCGCTTCCGTCTCCGTCGCGAGCTACATTTATGTGACAATTTTACTAACAAATGATACAAAGCAATAAAATGTGATGAGGTCGGCGACACACAGCGCCGTCATGTCGCTCGGAGACGGAGCTCGGACCTGTGTGCGCGCACAAACACAAGCGGTTGCTCGATCGGGACTTCGTTTGAACGTTTCTTAAAAAGTTTAAAACAAAAAATGACACATTACTCGGATGGACGTGACATCGAAATGAGATCATTATAATATCCAAATTATACTAAAAATATGATGTCGTAGAGCGGGGTAGGGTGGGGGGCGCGGGGGCCGACGAACCCCCCGCGCCCTCCACACAGTTATAATCTATTTCATTCGTTTATTCTACAAGAAACAAATATTTATATACAAATACGCAATTTTCATACGAAGAGTTTGTCTCGTGCGAGCGGCTCTGCTCAATTTCTCTCTAGCTCTCACACACGTTCCATTTTAAATATGAAAATACAGAGTTAGTATGTAATTGTAGGCGACTCCACGAGGCGAGCCGCGCAGAGTGTTGCCGCTCGCGCAGAATAAACTCTCCTTGTGAAAATGAGACATAAAAATGATGTTTTCTGTCGCTCAGCCGACGAGTCGCCGACGTGTCGCCGACGTTATGCCGACGAGTCGCCGACGTTGTTTTGTCGATAAGTACTTATCCTAAGCTTACATATTGTCGAAGGACATAAGAAATATAGATTTTGAAAAATAAACATAAAAAATAAATAAAACATTTTGTAAAATAACATTAAATCATTTGAAACAGAAAGTTAAAAATTATAAACTAAGATGCCTTTTAAGTTCTGTTGTTTGCATATTGCATAAAGTATGCGTTTCCCGTTGGACCGATCTTTTCCCGATCGATCGTCCCCATGGAAAATAATCCAAGCGGTTCCATGTATTCCATCCTTGGATAGAAAATTAGCAGTGAAAAGCAATCAAAGGTATAAACCGGTGGAAGAGTTGAATGGTGACATGATCAGGAACGACCTCGAGGTAGAGCTTTAATTCGCATTTACCAGAAATATATTTTTTAGCAGAAGCGACAAAATGTCAGGCGTTTGTGTGCGCTGCGTCCGAGTTATCGCGAGTACATCGCAGCGCACACTTCTGCTGTATAATATTGTCAGATAGGGACAGTCGAGCGACTAGCGAGACCGGAGACTACGACATCCAATAAAATTACTGCGGCCGAAATCCATCATGTGACCGAGCCGTTGACAAAAACGTGGTCACGAGACTGGAAACTCTTCACGTTCCAAGTTCTGCTTTTGCTCCGAACAGAAATTAAAAGGCGAAACCCGCAGGTGTCACTTGCGGCTCCAAAAAATAAATGGTTAAGTAATGAAGATTTTTTTGGCGATTTTGTACTCAATACGATGTGTGTGTGTGTGTGTACGTGTGTGTGTGTGTCAGGGGGCGCGGGCGCGGGGCGCGGGGCGGCCGGGGCAGGTTACAGCGCCCCCGCAGCCGACATCGCGCCTCCCCGCGGCTGCCCCCACCTGCAACACACCTTCGCTGTACAACACCACTCACTGTCTCCCCTCACCGGAACGAGTTCATTATTATTTTGCTAAACTAAGCGTTTAGAGATCAGCTATTTCTAAAATATTTGTTAGTTTTCATTATTACAAAAATATTTGCCGCACCGACAGCCGACAGAAGAGCGCACGGCTCCACCGAATTTGAAGGCCGATTGGTCGAGCGATTGGTATTGTACCTCCGAGTATTACAGGAGCGCGGTGTGTTGCCCTTCTCGCTAATTACACATAACCGTAGACATGATGAGTCCGCCAGCCAGCGGGGGCTCACCTGGTGGCGTCGGGGGTGAGAGGCGGTGCTC